CGCATGACTGTATATTCATTCAGTCACAGTTAAGGTAAAATATACTTGTGATGTAATATTTTAATGAAAATACGGTATCGTAGTTTTCTTTTGTTTCAAATTTAATTAACAAAGATTGATGTTTCAAATGTAATGAACAAAAATTTATGTACAGTATCTATAAATAAACTTCAAAATATGAATACTTTGTTTTACATCGTCCTGTGCATACCATACCATGCATTTGGCTATTTTGGGCTTGCTATGATGACGCAAGAGATCTGCCCTGGCAACTGTACCGACACTCACAGCTGGTGGTGCGTTGGTGCGTCGTTTCCATTGTTTACTGGTAGTTACTGGTAAATATTTTTCAACCTAACGAAACTATTACCCGTTTAGAGGTCGACCCCCAATTTTTTGCCAAATAATTTGGTCTTAAAAACTCGAACTACACACAGGTATATACGGTAAATAAGGACATGGGGGGGGCCAGGTTTTTTTTAGGGGGGGGCAGCAAAAGTACACGGATTTTTAACATTCACGGGTATCTCTGTTACCTAACCCCCGCGTATGTTAAGGGCCGACTGTACTACAAAAAACAATGTTATGTTTATTCTAGGAGATGGGCTGAGGTGAATCTGGGTAGACTGTCAGTCTTTTTAGTATTTTGTGCTTCTTTCAAGTACCAAACTAAATTATTCCATTGAAACAACACTTCGATTTAGTGCGAATTCGGTTTTAAGCGACCTCTCTTGAAACTATCTCGTGTTATATCTACGTTCTACTGTACTGTAAGAACTCAGTTTGTGTATCAAAAATACTTTCTTTCAGCATTAACCCCTTGTGTACAGGGGCCTCTCTATGTTGAATAAAATTGTCTGGCACTAGCCAAAAAAAAGTGAAGAGTGGTGTCCCGGTTGTGAAGGGGTTAATACATCCAAAGAGTGCAAATGACATACAAAGAGCAATTGGACTATGTGAAAATATACACCAGAATAAAAAGAAAGAGTGAGCTTGTAAAATATCGTTTTGGAATAAAGGAAAAACAAGAATGTGAATCATGGAGAGCTTCCTTTCCTCTAGCTTGAAATTCTTGATACCTACTTCGTAAGTGGAAGTAACTATGGACTGTTGACAATGTTTCATCCTCCCAACACAGGCAACAGCACATCAGATTGAAAGAAAGCCACAGAGATTTGGGGGAGCAATAAATCAGAGACTCAACATTGCTCAAACCTCCTCACACATCACATATGGGCTCACCAGACACCTTCAGGGATTCATCAGCCTCTATCTCTTAGAACTGTATTAACAAAATGATTTGAAGGAAGATTAGGTCCAGGTAATGTGTTTAATTCTCCCCAATCACAAAAGAGGATTCATAAACTATGGTAAATACTTTCTCTGAAAATAATACCTTGGAAGATCAAAGCCAATGGATAGAATGGTGATGGTTGGACCCCTATATATCTTATCACTAAAGACTTGCATAAATTTGTTACTTGTGTTGGCTCTAATTTCACTGAATGGTATAAGACTGGGAAAAGCAACTTACCAGCTCATTTAAAGTTATGAGAGTTCATTCTTGTAGGATGAATATACAGAGAACAAAAAACTGAAGTATGAAAACTTATTTTATGCCCAAGGGGGATACAGTGATCCCTCAGTTAACGAGCGCCTCGGTTAACGAAATCTCAGTTCATGAATTACCTTCCATAAGACCCTTACTTCGGTTAAAGAGCATTCCCTCGATTAACGAATTCCTTACAAATTTTTCCCAACATGTTTTCGCATGCATTTGGCTGCCCACCAGCTGTAGCATTTGTCCGCCAATACAGTAATCGGTTCTAGGGCTTAAATTCCTTACTATTGAAACAATGGTTTTGGTTAACGAGCAACCTTCTAGAATGAATTGTGCTCGTTAACCGAGGGACCACTGTACTGTAGATGGAGTAACTTGCAAGATCATCCACCAGAACACTACCTAATGGAACCTGCCTTCTTAAAGGGGCTGTCTGCATTCTTGAAGAGGGTACAGTGTCCTATCAGATCAATGGAAATGCTGCATAAATAGCCACTCACTATGTCAAATCAAAACTATGAAATAAGCTTTATCCTTGATCCAGGGAGTCAACGAAGTACAGTATTACCCCGCCTAACGCGGTTTCACTTAACGCGTTTTATCATATACGCGGTGCCTCGCCAGAGCTGAACTTTCACTTAACACGGATTTTTTCCACATATACGCGGTGAGTGTCCGGCTCGAGAAGCTATTTTTAGATTTGCCCCACCCTGCCTGACTGCCTGTTTTAGCTCATAAAATTCATACAAATTACCCGGCCAGAATATAATTTACATTGCTGGAATTCTTATAATTTGGTGATCATTTTGAATATAAACATCATATTTTTGCATTAGACATACAAATTTTAGATAAAAATTTTTCTCAAATTAACTATGTTATCTTTTGTGCAAAATATATGACATTTATATTCAAAATATTCCTGGTCTTACAAGGAATCCAGCAATGTCAATTATATTATCCTAACTTTAGTTTGAGGTATTATTTATTAAAATTTAGTGGTTATCCCACACATCTCCTTGGGACGGTTGGTGGGGGTGGGGGGGAGGGAGGGACCGACCGACCATCTGTTACCCTGTGAAGAATTATTTTTTTTTTTATTAACTGAAGATATTTGTTTTAGCTCATAAAATTCATACAAATTATCCGGTCTGAATATAATTTACATTGCTGGAATTCTTATAATTTGATGATCATTTTGAATATAAACATCATATTTTTGCATTAGACATACAAATTTTAGATAAAATTTTTTCTCAAATTAACTATGTTATCTTTTGTGCAAAATATATGACATTTATATTCAAAATATTCCTGGTCTTACAAGGAATCCAGCAATGTCAATTATATTATCCTAACTTTAATCTGAGGTATTATTTAATACTAAATGTTAAAAACCCTGGAAGGGAGGATTGGTGGGGGGTGGGGGGGAGGGTTGGGACTGACCGCGCGGTTGGAAGAGGGGGGGAGGCAAGGTGGGGTACTTTGATTGACAGATAGTGTTGTGAAGATTTTTTTTTTTTTTATTAACTGAAGATATTTGTTTTAGCTCATAAAATTCATACAAATTACCCGGTCAGAATATAATTTACATTGCTGGAATTCTTATAATTTGGTGATCATTTTGAATATAAACATCATATATTTTTCATTAAACATACAAATTTTAGATAAAAATTTTTCTCTAGGTAACTATGTTATCTTTTGTGCAAAATATATGACATTTATATTCAAAATATTCCTGGTCTTACAAGGAATCCAGCAATGTCAATTGTATTATCCTAACTTTAGTTTGAGGTATTATTTATTAAAATTTAGTGGTTTTCCCCCAAAAATTTCTCTGAGAGGGAAGAGCCAGTGAGTGTAGTGTGAGAGAGGGAGGGAGTTGAGTCCATTATTTGAATGGACATTAACTTGGCGACTGTATTTCTCTTAAGTATTAATTGTGTGCATGTACCATCATAAAATTAAGATGTTATTTTTACTACAACATAGGTATGTGCCTTCAAAAAGTGGAGTTTGGGGGTCAGGCCGGTTTCTATTGGAATTAATCCCATATGTTCTGTTGTTCACTTAACGCGGATTTCACTTAACACGGGACCCTCTGGGTTCAATTGACCGCGTTAAGTGGGGTACAACTGTACTGTACACTGGAATAAAGCTTAAACTTGTTGGTTAGACTTGAACTCCTCAGCCATAAACTTGGAAATCAGATCACACTTCACATTTTCCTGCTGATAAGAAAATCAACCAGAGAAGGAGGTTACTTGTCTTTTCCTCTTTACCATAAAATGGGACTCCATGCTACATTCCACTATTAAGGGCTTAGGGGTGGTCACTTGTTAGGGAACTGTGAGATTCCTAACTAAATTGAAAATTAATGCAGGTTGTCATGTGTTAAGGAACTAACTTGAAGACCTAAAGTAGGAAGGACACACCTTAATTGTAAAGATGACTAATAATAAATACTTCCTGACATTAAAGAGGCTGTCTTAAGATTCATCACTCTGGTAATCAATCCCTTTGTTAAACAAGACAAATGTTTGACACAAATGTGTAGAAAGGCATATGTTCAAGTTTAATAGGCAATAAAAATATTAATATTAATAACCCATAATAAAAATCTCTTTAATTAATAGACAGATCAAAGAGTTCTTGTTAAGGTAGTTACAATACAGTATATGATTGGTGAGAACAACTAATGGCAGGCACGATCAAAACAATAGTTGATCAAATTATATGAACAATAATCTTGAAATCTGTTAAGGAGCTCACAAAAAAAGTAACAATATTGATATTTTTACCAAGAAAACAGTTCAAAACACAATACAGTACAGTAAAATAACTGAAGTGACATGTTAAAATGTGTAAGAAAATGAGAAAGAAGGAAGAGACCAACAGGGAAGCAGTGGGAGAAAGTAAGGATACTGTACTGTATATGACTCAGATGACTCCATGTACTGTACAGTACAGTACAGTACTGTACTGTACTGTACTGTACTGTACTGTACAGCACAGCACAGCACAGCACAGCACAGCACAGCACAGCACAGTATGTCAGCAGTACACAGAACAGGATGGTAAAGAAGAAACTGTATAGGTTACCCTGCCAGATAGTGAGAGATGGTTTATTAGATATCTCACAGCCAGATGGAGAATAAACTTTCATCTCTATTAATAAATTTATTTACTGTATTTATCCATCACTTTTTCTTTGCTCCTACGTTTTGCACTGAGTGAATCATGAAATATTAACTTTGAAGAAAGGAAGGAATGGTTGAGGAGAATCCATTTTAAGTTGCTGTACTGATATTCACCATTAGTGGGTACACTAACAGCAAGAATTAAGAGATGGATAAGAAAGATATACTTGATACATACAACACAAAAGTTTGTTACACTTATGACATCAAGTTACAATATTTGCCTCAATACTCACTTTTCACGTAGTCTGAGAGCCTCAGTGAGAAGCTTGGATGACTTGGAGATATCCTCAACTGGCATCTGAAAGTTTTATTTCAACATTAATTAAGCTGAAACCGTTGCATCAAAATTAACACCTGGTTAGTATGCACAAATTGCAATCTAATTCGAAATGTCACTCCTCTGCAATTGAAAAAAATAAAAGGCTAATGAGTATGTCAGTAGGAGTCATAAACTTTATGCAGGTAAAAAGAGTTTGGAAGATGGCAGCAGTAACCTTACAAGGTGGGGGCCTGTGTAGTGGAACTGCCCTCAATGAATAAACCTGAGTTAAAACATTAAGAGGTAGCAAACACCTTATCCATCACTCCTGTAATACACTCCTTACAGGCCCTAGATACAGTACTTCTATGGCACTTGTGGAGAGTCACTGTTGATAGTCGAACAATGAGCATGCAGAGTAGCAGAATATAATGCAACAAACAGCATCTAATATCCACAAAAAGCACCAAATAAACACCCATATACTGTACAGCAACTAACAAACAGAAAATGTTTTAGTAATAATAAACAAAAGTGTATTACAGGTTGTACCTCTCTAGTCCGGCAACCTCGGGACCTGACCGGTGCCGGACCATGGAAATTGCCGGACCATGGAAATTCACCCTTTTCCTGGATAGATAGTGACTTGTGCTTATGCCTGGAAACACTAGCACCACTTTCTCTGCATCATGGTCTCTTTGAAGACATATTGAAGGGTTAAATGTCGTATAGTAGCTTCTCAAATTTCGCGAGTTTTTAATTCTTAACGTATTTTATTGGAACACACAAAAAAATAAATAAATTAAAATTTTGACGGCGGAAACTTGAATTTCGACATGTTTGAACGGCCCGCCAACGTGCAGACGACGTGCATAATCGTGTAAACAGCGTCATTTCTCTTGTGTACAAAAGATTCATTATCGTTTATTACTGAATGTCTTTTTTATTGAATTAATGTTTATGTGTGCAAAATGAGCAATACAATTCATTAATAATACGTAGAATATTAAAACACACGAGGAAATGACACAGCATTGTATTCGTTGATTACAAAACCAGTGACTGACTGGTTCTACATATAAAACTGAAGAAAATAAGACCTTGGTTGTAGCTGTAGTAAAATTAATATGGTTGTTTTAAGTAATGTTATTAATGTTAATAAATGGAACAATAGAAGTAGCTAACGATAATGGTAAAGAAAAAAGAGAGATCGCATATGTAAGTGCGCATGCGCACACGTGAAAACATATCGTCATTACTTTACATAAGAATATGAAAGCAACACTTATTTACTGTTCATATATATTTTAATTAATGTTTCTGAATTTGTTTTTATTGAATTAATGTACGTGTGTGCAAAATTAACAATACAATTTATTAATAATACATGGAATATTAGAGGAGACGAGACGGCTGCCGGCATTGTTTATGTTAAAGCTTACGAAACCAGTGACTGATTGGTTCTACATATAAAACTGAAGAAAATAAGACCCTGAGTTTAGCTGTAGTAAAATTAATGTAAAAAATGAATATGGTTGCTTGAAGTACCTGTAATGTTATTTAATGTTAATAAATGGAACAATATAAGTAGCTAACCATTAATGGTAAAAAAAAAGTGAGACTGCTCGTATGTAAGTGCGCACATGTGAAAATATATCGTCATTACTCTACATAAGAATATGAAAGCAACACTTATTTACTGCTCATATATATTGAAGGGTTAAATGTTGTACTCTGTATAGACAAGCAGAGAGAGAGAGAGAGAGAGCAGCCGAACTGCCGGATGTAAACAAACCTTAATTTCCCGCGGCTTTTTTTTTTTAAGGGGATTAGCCCACCCGGGAATAGGTCACTGACCCACATTAGGGCCTGAGGGGCAAAAATTTAATACTCCTGTAATAATAATAATAATTCAGATAAGTAAACAAAAAAAAAAAAAGAAAAAAAAAGCTGCCTATCTACCTATTGGACAAACTAAAATCGTTCCGGACCACCGGAGTTTCCGGACCACAGAATGCCGGACTAGAGAGGTACAACCTGTATTACTGGATATTATATTAACCCTTTCGCTGCAATTCCTGCACTTGCTATTTTATTCTGGCTACCACCAAATGATTTTACTCAGCTTAGGGTAATCTCCTGCAGCCAATGGGTTAAATTAAAAGATTCCAAAACAAAAGTAAATATATTAGAACAAGAAATGTATACAAAATAACACTAAAAGAACATCATGATAGGATACACAAAAGATTACATTTAAAATTATGACAAATTATAGATAAATTACTTATGCAAATGCGATCTTGATGATCAACCCTGTGTAAACACTGTTACTGTAGTCATGTTAAGCTTACATTATAGTACTGCATATAATGTAATGACAGACCATTAGCTAGTTTTAACTACATATAACACTGGGCAGAGGTGATAGAGAATTTTTTGTTTTAAGTTACGTACAGGATTCTCTTAAAGCTCGCAGTTTTAAAGCTCGCAATTTTAAAGCTTGCGTTCTTCAGAAACACACGGATTGCCATAGAAAATAAATAAAATAAATCTGAGGCTGTGTGCCAGGGATCAAGAGGAGTCAACACTACAGGACAGTACAGAGCACCATATTTCCCAGGTCATAAAATGCACCCTATAATTAGCAAGGTGTACAGTATTTTGGAAAAAATAATTATTGCAGATCTAATAGCCTACTGTACTGGCAAAGTCAAGTCACTGGCTATATGCTCTCACGTTTCTCACTACCACAACTCACTATCACTTTATGGACCTATTATCAAACATTTGTTGGTATTATTAATAAAATTACCTAATTTAATACAAAAGGATATAATTATATGTATAGGTGCCTACGGTATACACATTACAAATACTTTTCGGTACTGGGCATGTTCACTAGGAACTGTCCAGTACAGGGATTGTTTACATCCTGTGCACCAGATCAGCTGACGTTTCAGAGGTACTGTATTGTCTCTGCATTATCACTACCACAGCTAACTATCACTATGTGGACCAGTGTCCATCCAGTGTTACTTTATGTTTATGTTTATTTATTTATGTTATTTCAAATTTATTATATTGTCTTATGCATACATAATGTTGTTATCCATGTACATACGAGTATAGCTATTTATGTACAGTATTACCCCGCTTAACGCGCTTTCACTTAACGCGTTTTCGCATATACGCGGTGCCTTGCCAAAGCTGAACTTTCACTTAACGCGGATTTTTCCACAGCAACGCGGTGAGTGTCCGGCTCGAGAGCTATTTTTAGATTCGCACCACCCCCCACCCGCCACCCTGCCTGACTGCCTGTTTTAGCTCATAAAATTCATACAAATTACCCAGCCAGAATATAATTTACATTGCTGGAATTCTTATAATTTGGTGATCATTTTGAATATAAACAACATATATTTTGCATTAAACATACAATTTTTAGATAAAAATTGTTCTCTAGGTAATTATGTTATCTTTTGTCCAAAATATATGACATTTATATTCAAAATATTCCTGGTCTTACAAGGAATCCAGCAATGTCAATTATATTATCCTAACTTTAGTTTGAGGTATTATTTATTAAAATTTAGTGGTTATCCCACACATCTCCTTGGGACGGTTGGTGGGGGGTGGGGGGTGGGGGGGAGGGAGGGACCGACCGACCGACCATCTGTTACCCGGTGAAGAATTATTTTTTTTTTTAACTGAAGATATTTGTTTTAGCTCATAAAATTCATACAAATTACCCGGTCAGAATATAATTTACATTGCTGGAATTCTTATAATTTGGTGATCATTTTGAATATAAACAACATATATTTTGCATTAAACATACAATTTTTAGATAAAAATTGTTCTCTAGGTAATTATGTTATCTTTTGTCCAAAATATATGACATTTATATTCAAAATATTCCTGGTCTTACAAGGAATCCAGCAATGTCAATTATATTATCCTAACTTTAATCTGAGGTATTATTTAATACTAAATGTTAAAAACTCTTGAATGGAGGATTGGTGGGGGGTGGAGGGAGGGTTGGGACTGACCGCGCGGTTGGAAGAGGGGGGGAGGCAAGGTGGGGTACTTTGATTGACAGATAGTGTTGAAGAATATTTTTTTTTTTTTATTAACTGTAGATATTTGTTTTAGCTCATAAAATTCATACAAATTATCCGGCCAGAATATAATTTACATTGCTGGAATTCTTATAATTTGGTGATCATTTTGAATATAAACAACATATATTTTGCATTAAACATACAATTTTTAGATAAAAATTGTTCTCTAGGTAATTATGTTATCTTTTGTGAAAAATATATGACATTTATATTCAAAATATTCCTGGTCTTACAAGGAATCCAGCAATGTCAATTATATTATCCTAACTTTAGTTTGAGGAATTATTTATTACTATACCTGGTTTTCCCCCAAAAATTTCTCAGAGGGAAGAGCCAGTGAGTGTAGTGTGAGAAGAGGGGGAGGGAGTTGAGTCCATTATTTGAATGGACATTAACTTGGCGACTGTATTTCTCTATTTCTCTTAAGTATTAATTGTGTGCATGTACCATCATAAAATTAAGATGTTATTTTTACTACAACATAGTTATTTGTCGTCAAAAAGTGGAGTTTGGGGGTCGGGCTGGGTTCTATTGGAATTAATCCCATATGTTCTGTTATTCACTTAACGCGGTTTTCACTTAACGCGGGACCCTCTGGGTTCAATTGACCGCGTTAAGTGGGGTACAACTGTATGTATTTTGCACACTCCTGGGACTGGCATGAAAAACTCCCGGATATTGCTTTCTCACAGGGTCCATTTTACCTAACCCAAGCAAGCTTTAAGGGAGTACTGTACTGTACATCACTATAAAGATTAATAGCCAAACAAGTAAAGACTTTACTAACAATGAATCATAGCCAACATCATATACTATGTATGCTTTTCACTGTGTCCACTATGCACCAAAACAGCATACACGTATTACTGTCTCTTGTCCTTCAAAGCAAAATTGATTCTTGTCACTTTTGAACAT